CCAGACGTTCTTATAACAAGCACATGAGGTGTCACTGCGTGGGCTGACAAAAGCTTGGCCTACAGATTTCTTAAAACTGATATGTCTTTCTGTAATTACTGTTGGAAGACTGCCATGTATGTCTTGGGAAAAAAAAGTTTTCAGCACATATTTATGAAGCTTTTTCTTCCAGTTGTCCAATTTTTGTACGCAACTCTTCAATAAATAAACAACACAGTCACCCACTAAAACCTTGTTTTAGTTCAGCAACTACTATGGTTTATCACGTGGACTAACGCCAATATTGTTTTTGCTGCTGCTCACCTGTTACGGTGGAGCAAACAAAGTGGAAAGCTGGCTGTATCATGAAAGACTAGTAGACATTCTACAACCAGTTTTTCCAATCATTGTTCACCTTGTTCAACAATAGCCATACTGTTGAGGTTTTAAAAAAAACAACACTACAGTATGTCAGGTCAGGTGCCAGTGAACTGAACTTTCTCACCTTGATATTGCAGCATTCAAGACTTTACCTATGCTGCCTGTCATTTTCCTGTGTGAGTTCATTTGAAAGCACAGTGATTGGTTTTACCCACATAGTTATTAGTGGGGCATTTAGTGCACTGGATGAGATCCATCACATGATGTGAGCAGCATGTGTAGGACTCATAGATCTTTAACAGAGTGTTGTGGGGAGCTAGGGTGGCTAGGTGTGGGGTGTTGATCATTGTAGCCATGGAGATGGTTTTGCCTCTGTTGTACAAGCGGGGTCTGGTGCCGCTTTGAATTGGTGTGTCCTGGAACTTGCTTCTTATGATGCATTTAGGTTGTCTGAAGGCCAGAACTGGGGGTTCAGGAAAGAGTTCTTTCGGGGATTGGGGGGGGGCATTGAGTATGGGCTGTAGCTGTTTGATGATACCCCATATGGGTTGCAATGTGGGTAGTAGGTGACAACTAGGGGTGTGCAGGTCGGGGGGGGGGGAGGAGGGGTTAGTTCTGTGTTGAAGCAGGTTCTCCCAGGGTATTTGGGTTGCCCATTCCCTGATGCAATCTACTTCGCTAGTGGAGCAGCCTTGTTCGGTGAAGGCAGTTTGAAATGTGAATAGCCTTGACTTTTGCCTCAGTTCATATTCTGTGGTAGCTGCATGCCTGATGTTTTATATAACAGTATTTTTTTTTTTTTGGTGGTGGATTGGCTCTGTGAAGGTGTATGGGTTTCTTGTATATAGCTGTCTGTAGGGGTCCATTGTCCGCGTGTTCTGGCGAGCGTTGGATGGATGGGTTGCGGTTGTTAAAGTTGTGGTGGAAATCTGAGGGTGTTTAAGCCATCTGGACCGACTGGTTTTGTGGTGTAATTGTCCAGAAGTACTTCTTCATGAAGAGGTTGGCATCTTGGGAAGCCATCCTCAGACCCACGGCTCTGGCCGTGCTTTGGACAAAGTGGTTGTTGTTGCATGTAAAATTGTTATGGATGAGGATGAAATGCATGAATTTGGCAAAGTGTTTGAGGTGGATAGCTGA